GTGCAGAACGTGTAGGTTTGTTATATAGGTATACATGTGCATGGTGGTTTGCTGTAGCTATCAACCCGTCATCTAGGTTTTAAGCCCCGTGTGGACTAGGTATTTGTCCTAATTCTCTCCCTCCCCTTGGCTCCCACCCCCGACAGGCCCCGCTGTGTGATGTTCCCTTCCCTGTGTCCATGTGTTCTCATTATTCAACTCCCACTTATGAGTGAGAACATGCGGTGTTTGGAGAAAAGCCTTTTCTAATGGTCATTGCTGAAAGCTCCACTCCTTATTTCACAAGCTGTCTTAACTCTTTTTTCATGTTTCAAGATCCCCATTTCTGTCTTTAAATCATTTTTTTCAACAAAAATAAAATTTGCTGTTTGAGTTTGCTATATCTGAAATTCTGATATATTTGAATTTTGTATGAGATGGTTGTATTTTTAGAAGAATTACCCTACTTTTAGTCTCATTGTCAGGGAAGAAAACAATTTAATTTGGGACAAAAGAAGAAGAGAGACCAGAATTTATTGAGCATGTGGTATATACTAGGCTCTGTGCCAGATACTCTAATTACATTTGATTATATTGATTGGTTATAAAAGGAGTGAAGCATTGAGAGACCAACTTATGTAAGGTTTCTCTGCTCAGCAGAATTCACTGCCTTGCTTGATGAAATATGGACTGTCAGAGATGGAAATAAGCTTTTCAAGTGGACTGCCTTTCATAATGGCATTTAAATACAATGAATGACGTGTTAGACTGATCCATTCTCCCTTTATTTAGGTTTGGTGAAGTGTACCGTATCATGTGTGATGTAGTATCATTATGTGAGATCTTCCTTCCAGCCACTGCAGAATGGGGAGAATTCCTCTCCTTTCCTGGCCTCCTATGATAGACCCCAGGTCTGATATAAGTAGAAGACTGCTATCTGTTTGAAATACAATATTCCAGTTTATAATTCTAGATTTTTTAGATGTCACTCTAGATTCCTCTTTATTCACATGTTTCTAGGAGAGGAGTAAATACGTCTACCAATCAAACTCATTCGTCTGTTAGAATACCTATAAAACAGAAATTTGGCAAAGAGAGAGCTATAAGTGGGAACAGCTGCTCCAGATGCCTAAGCTTTGTGGGGGGCTCAAAGGTTGGGACCAGTTTCCTATGGTCCCTGGCTGCATGGCTGAGGTTTGTTGTGACTGCCAAGTGGGCCAGCAGGTCTTAACCTGAATTTATTTTCTGTGCAGGCTTTCTAGGGGTTTGTACAGCCTGGAGCCCCTTTCCCAGTGTGTAAAATGCACACCCTGAGGCAGCCCCAGCCACCTCCCATGTTATGTGGTTTAGTATATTCCTGAGAAGTGGGACCAAAACAGCTTTCAGAAATTGTTGAATTTATCAAGCAAGGTGGCTGTTTAGGTTACACAGTAAATCCTTTGTGAAGTATAAGGCAATAGGTACTGAACGTATTTCTAGCAATTTCTTGGTTGAGTTCTCTCCTGTTACCTTATTTGAACTTGATAGCCTGTGGGGTGGGCAGACTCGGTGCTGTTCTCCCCACCTCCATTCTTAAATTTTTTTTATTTTTTGAGACAGAGTCTCACTCTGTTGCCCAGGCTGAGGTGCAGTGGTGCCATCTTGGCTCACTGCAACCTCCATCTCCCATGTTCAGGCGATTCTCGTGCCTCTCCCATATTCAGGCGATTCTCGTGCCTCAGACTTCCGAGTAGCTGGGACTACAGGCACATGCCACCATGCCCAGTTAATTTTTTTGTATGTTTAGTAGAGTTGCGGTTTCATCATTTTGCCCAGGCTGGTCTTGAACTCCTGACCTCAGGTGACCCTGCACCTTGGCCTCCCAAAGTGCTGGGATTACAGGTGTGAGCCACTGGACCCGGCCTCCCCACCCCCATTTTAAATAGCAGCTTTTAGATAGAATTCACTCTTGGGGGCCACTCCACAGGAATGGGATGGATCTCCTCCACTTGGTCACATTTGCATTAGATATTGAGTCAGCTGACATCAGACAAACCCTAAGAGGGTGTGAAAAGGTTTATTACTCCCATAATGAGGCTTTCTGGGAAGACCAGGGCATCTCCCAAGAGGTCCTACAATGGCTTCAGAGAACATTGTTCTCTGAAAGGAGACTGGCTTAGCATTATTTGGATGGTTATGGGGGGATGGTGTGGAATGAGGGTTCCCATTGAAGGGTTTGAATTTACGGCTGGTGCCCTAAGAGGGAGCCACCTGGACTTTCCTCTCCGCCTGCCTAGATGTGCGCAGAAAGGGATGAAGGAGGAATGAGGCTTCAGAGCACCAAAAGTCTGGTCACTTTTAAAAATTACATTCACATGCCATAAATGTGTTCAATTCAGTAGTCATAGGCTGTATGTGTGTATAGATTATATATAATTTGAGAATATATATTAGAAACACTGTCTAATTTCTGAACATTTTCTTTACCCTGAAAAGAAACCTCATACCCACTAGCAGTGACCCCATATTTCCTGGTCTCCCAGCCCTACATAATCACTAATCTACTTTCTATTTATATGGATTTGTCTGTTCTGGACATCTAATTTGAGTAATACAATATGGGGTCTTTGGTGCCTGGCTTCTTTCACTTCATATAATGGTTTTAGGCTACTTCATGTAGTGGCATGCATCAGCGCTTTGTTCCTGCCTGTGATTGAATGATACCCCATTGTGTGGATGTGCCGAACGAGTTTGTCATCTTAAAGGGTAATTCATTTGGAATATCTGAGGGTGAGATGGTGGGAGAGTCAGGTGTCAGTATTAGCAGGAGAGGAAAGACATGGGCCTGCATCTCAAAAGGGATTCAAAGGCAGACATTTAGTCTTAGGAGTTGTATAAATTAGAAGTGACATTTAAAGATGGGAGAGTAAATGTGATCTCCAAATTGAAATGTACTTTTAGGTGGCTGCACTGGTTGCCAATAGATACCATCCATCTATTCATGTCCTCTGATGAAATTCATGGTAATTTTCATTTTAGCACAACTCAAGTTCATTCTGATACAGAAAAGTCAGTGAAACCAAACATACCTTTTGAATTACTCATTTTGTCTTGTTTCTATTATCATGAGACCTGTTTTTGAATACTTCACTCTAAATATGCTCTGTTGCTTTTCAAGAGCCCACTAATTTTGTTGGTTGGCAAATGATTAATATTTGAAATTTGGTACAAGTTGCTTCGATGTGTATATGTCTTAGTCCGTTTTCTACTGCTATAACAGAATACCACAAGCAGGGTGATTTATAATGAACAGAAATTTATTCGTCCCATTATTCTGGAGTCTGGAAGGGGTGAGAGCATGATAGCAGCTGGTGAGGGTCTTCATGCCACATCATCCTCTGGTGAATGGTGAAAGGTGGAAGGAAAAGAGAACATGCAAGAGTGAGAGAAGAGAAAGGAGGCTGACCTCATTCTTTTATTGGGAACCCGCTCTTGAGAACACCGTTTATCAGTGAGGCTCTGCCCTAATCACTACCTAAAGGGCCCACTTCCCAGCACTGTCCATGGAAGATTAAGTGTCTCACTCATGAACTTTGGGGGACACGTTCAAACCATATCATTTAATTAACTTATTTCCAGAAAACATTGCTTTTTCCTTTGAATGAGTTAGGAAATTGTTTCATTCTGTCTGATTTTTTTTTTTAATTTAGTTTTTACTTTTATTTATCTTTTTTAGCTTTATTGAGGTATGATTGACATTGTATAAATTTAAGGTATATAATATAATGATTTGGTATACATACATTTTGTGAAATGATTACCACAGTCAAATTAGCTAACACCTCTTGTAGTTACCTTTTTTCTTTCTTTTTTTGTGATGAGACCATTTAGATCAAGCTTGTCCAACCCATGGCCCGAAGGCCACAATGTGCCCCAGGGTGGCTTTGAATGTGGCCCAACACAAATTGGTAAACTTTCTTAAAACATTATGAGATTTTTTTTTTTTTAAAGCACATCAGCTATCAGTAGTGTTAGTGTATTTTATGTGTGGCCCAAGACAATTCTTCTTCTTCTAATGTGGTCTAGGGAAGCCAAAAGATTGGACAACTCTGATTTAGACTCTTGTTTTAAACACTAACTGAGGGTTCTAAAAGTAAATCAAACAGCATATGCCAGCAGCTTCCAATGTGCTTGGTTATCATTTATAATTCTTGGTAAAGTTCAAACATAATCTTTTGTATCTCAAATAATATTCCTTGGCTTCTGCAGGCAGGATGTCTAAAATGTGTACTAACAATAACAAATTAATTTTAAATTTCCAGATGCTCTCTTGATGTATATTGAATGAACAGTGGCTTTTAAAGGTATTTCTCTTGCTGTACAGGAGTCAGGTTAATTGGTAGATTTTCTGAATTCTCAGAACTGACATTTAATCCATGTGTTTAGTGTTTTATAGTCTCCAATATTCAGTTTCTGGGTGGATGAGTTTCCATGTTGTTTATCTGCCAGCATTGTGATGTCATGAGAAGACTCTCCTGATATCACATCATGGGTATAATCTTGAACACTATAGCTCTATTTTGACAGAATCACCCTTTGGAAGTGGAATGCTCTAGACCAGAGAAGGTCATCCTGTTTTGTGCATGTGGCCAACATCTCCCCTTGTTTGATCTTGTATAGCTATTAGACACACTTTGCATAAAAACACAGGAGAGAGAATAAGCCTATATTTTTGCTTTTTTTCTGGGGCCCAGTGGCTAAACTACTCCTTAGAGAAAACAGACATGGTGGGATCATGTGCCTGGATGGTATTCCCTACAAGCATGTATTTCACTACATGCACACGTTTACACAACCCCCAGGTACTCAATCAGTATGACTCACTCCAACTTACAAATCTATAGAGAGAAAATGAAACTATCTGTTGCCTTGTGGAATAAGGAGTAATATCAGAGTGGATTTTTAAAAGATGCTTAACTTTTTTCCTAGTTATATATTGTGGCTGGCACAGGTTTTCCTCTGTGTGCAGCATGGTCTTTTTATAGAGTTAGCCTTTCATTGTTGAGGAAGGAAAATGGCAAGAGCCAACTTGGTATCATATCATTGACAAGCTTCCCTGTTAGCCATTCCCAAACATTCACATGAGGTGGTATAGTATCACCGAGTCCAGCACAAGGAGTTGGATTACTTACACACCAAACATAATCGTGCTGACTGCTGAGACCTCAGCATGTACTTCCCATTGCACACTGGAGCACTGCTTCAGAAGGCATGCATCTAGCCAGCCTGGGCAGCCCTTTATTCATGTTCTCATTTGCATCTTTGGTTACCAGAAATGGGAGAATCTTTTTAAGCAGTGTAGTCTTGCTAGCCCTCTCTAGCAAAGAGTAGAGGTGGGCTGAAGTCAAGATCGACACAGCAATGTCGTGTTCCCTTGTGGCTTGCTGTCAGCAAGCTGTTACCCATACGTGCAAAAGGTTGTTTGAAGTGGGCTTGCACGTGTTTCCATAGCAGCAGTCATCCTAGCGATTTCACTCGTTTTTTGGACTTTTTTTTCCCTTTGCTTCTCTGTTTCCTGCTGATGCAGAATTAAATAAACAGCATATTTAGGTCAAGGAAAGAGATGTTTGCTAATATAGATGCTAGGCTAAGCATTCTGGGAGAGTGATTTCTTGCAGCAGATGAACATTCTTTGTGCCTCCCAGCAGCATCTGCAGCAGTGTGGCTGTCTGGCACTGTCTTTTTCATTTTGGGCAGGTTCTGAGATTCAGAACAATCCCAGGCAAATCACAGGAGCCGGCAGTTTTCCAGGAGCCACATGTAAATCTCTGCTTATTCGTTCTTTGGTATTAAGAGTGAAGCAATCAGCTAGAAAAACGATACTTTAAAGGTTTTGGTGCATCCGAGGTGTGTCATCTTGTGTTTGCACCACCCCTCCTGTTTTACACTCGGAGCCTGGGTTTTTTGTCAGGCTGTTGAGCAGGAGCGGATTCTAGTACGGCAGCTCAGAGCTTCCCTTCTGTTCCGGTACCGGTGACTGCTTGTCATGAAGATGGTACAGTGGGAGCCTGTTTCGGAAGAGCCAAGGAAGAGGATGTGGAGATGGAGTAGAGATTGCTAAAAATCTGAACATCCACACCTTGGGGATGGGTTGCACTACTAGTGTGATTCTGTTTAAAGGCATCCGCACCGTTTTTGAAAGAAACTGTGCTTATATGTGCAAACAGCAAGGAGAGAATAATGCCCTTGAATATACAGCATACAATTGGACAAAAGAAGATTCAGAACTATTGATCTCCTCCTGGCTGGTAAATGCTGTCTTGCTTAATTAACAAGTAGTTTAATCGTGTTAGAATAAACTGTTCTTTACTTGTAAAACAAATACATTTATTTATTTCAATGTACATATATATATATATGTAGTCTGTGTGTATATATGGATAATTAGTGGCCTTAAGATTAAATTATGAAGTGAGTGTTTGTATGTATGGATTGATCAAAGCTAAATACATACAGAGAAAGGAATAAGATATTTGATTAAAGAATAGTTTTCTAATGTAGCTTTATCAGCTTACATGTTCTTGTTATAGTCCTAGAAATAATACACGGTAAAGTGTATATTTAGGGTATTTTATATGTGAACCGTCTCCCAGTGGTAGTGAATTATTTAGCTCCTTTACATCCCAGTCTTCTAGTTGGCTAGGTTTTTCTTACCAATGGCTTATGGTCAGTCCTTTATTCAGGGGAGGAAATTTAAAGGGAGCATGAAATAAAACTATGATGGGTAAAAGACAAATATTTATAGTTTTATTTTTTTTAAACAATCCAGCTACTTAACATGTTTTGGGGCGAAGGGTCTTGAGAGTGAGAGGAAGTGCAGTTTGACATGACACTTCTGTGTTCTGTCCCTTTATCAGGTATGAAGAGGTGTCAAGTCACAGATGGGTGTGCCTCTTGTGGCTTTCCCACCAGCACCAGGCTTGTGGGGAGCCACATATGGGTCTCCTCCTCCCTCAGGATGCCTTGCCATTTTTCCTTCTGTTCTTATCACAGCTTTTGTCAAAATGAGTTGGGACAAATATATCTCAGAGTTTCTATGTGTGTGTCTTGCCAGCAGCTTCTTGGTACAGCGAAGCGTGCGGAAGCACTGAGACCTTTCCTGGCTGGTGAGGCTACCATCTGAGACTGAGAAGGTGGTATTGGCATGCCATATAGTCTTGTGATCAGATTGGGTGGCCTCAGCCTTGTGGGAACCCAGAGAGGGGATGTGTTTTATGGAGGTTCTTCTGTCAGCACTTACAATATGTGGGAGGAAGAAAGGAGAGCATCAGTCAAGACATCAGATGCATTTTGCAAGTCAGTGTTTTGTATAGTTGGAATTTAAGTGGTGCTATATTAACTGCTAAATATTTTAAGCTCTGATATATTTTGGAATATGCTTTTGTGAATAACTGGTATCAGAGATTAGAAGGACTAGCTCCTTATGGCACTCTGTTCCATTAGGGTATCCATAACCTGGAAGCCAGGGACCTACTTGGGCCAGTAATGGCAATGCCCCTCCCATGCGGCAAGCTTCTGCTCCCTCAGGCCAGACTCACTTGTCTTTGGTTAACCTGACTTTAAGGGATTCTGCATGTTTTTATTTTCTCATGTATTGCTTGGGAGAAGAGTAACCTGCTAGGGGCTCTATCAGCGCTCTGGGTCTGGGATTCTGGAATACTGCTGTCATGCCTCCTGTCGGCTGCTCTCTGCCCACCACCACCCTTGCCTGCACTAGCAGGCTTTCCATGCATGTAGCAGAGGTGCTGCTGAATGGAAAGATGCACCCTCACTCCACACTGGTCTTTCTGCTGGTGTCCTTGCCCTCTGCAGCCTCTTCTCCGTGCAGCAGAGTGGCCCTTTGAAAAGAAGTCAGGCCATGTCACTCTTCTGCCACTCAGGGTCAAATGCAGGATCAAATACAATGGCCTCCAGCCCCATCTCCAGCACTGCCTAGGACTCCCTCCTTCTCTTCATCTGGGTGCCTCTCTCTTTTCTGCTCCTTCCTCACCTCGCTCTGGGCACCCAGGCAGCCTTGCTGTTTCCACTTCCTAGGACATCTCCACCAGGAATTGCACTATTCATTGCCTGGTTTTTGCTCAGACCCCCTTCTCAGTGAGGCTCCTGTGACCCCCTGAAATGCCTCTGGCACACCCTTTCCCCAGACCCTGTGTAGTTTCTTCTTCACCTGATGTACTCTTAGTCCAGAATAACAGCGTAGGTGTAGTAATAGTCATTAGTAAGTGTTACGAAGAGTGTGCTTATAGTACAAGAACAAGATTCATGGCCGGGCATGTGGTGGCTTATGCCTGTGATCCCAGTGCTTTGGGAGGCCAAGGCAGGAGGATGGCTTGAGGCCAGGAGTTCAAGACCAGCCTGGACAACATAGTGAGATCTCATTTCTACCACCACCCACCCCCCCAAAAAAATTAGCCAGACATATGTTGGTGCATATCTGTAGTCCCAGCTACTTAGAAGGCTGAAGCAGGAGGGTTACTTGAGCCTAGGAGTTCAGGTTTACAGTGATCTGTGACTGCAGCACTGCACTCCAGCCTGGGAAACAAAGCAAGACCCTATTGCAAAAAAAAAAAAAAAAAAAGAATCTGATTGATGATTGGGATTTTTGTGTGCCTTATTCACTCCTAACAGCTAGAACAGTGCCTGGCTCTATAGTGAATGCTCAGTCAATGAGGGAATACTGATGAAATAGTTTTTACAGTCCTGAAGTTGAACTTGGAGAAGCTACCAACAAGATTAGTTAAAATCACTTATTCTAAAGCCAAAATGTGTGTTTTTTAAAAAATTTAACTAGCTCACTGTTAATGATCTCTCTGAGCCTCTTGACCATTCCACTCCCTAGAGGTGTGCTTCTAACCCTTCTGTCACAGCACCACACCAAGAAGTTGTGTGGTTCATGGCTGAATGTCTGTGGGCTTGCAGCGGTAATGACTGACAAGTGGATATTGTCCAGACTACCTCTATTGAGACCTATGCAGGCATTTGGGGACCTTATTGTCCTTTAGTTTGAGCCACTTAAGCTATTTCTTAAGGGAGCCCTGCTCATTGGTCACCCCCACGCAAAGATAGGCAGACTATCTTCATATGTGGGTTTGCACCAGGGTTCTCATCTTGGGGAGGATGTCTGCCCTACCTCCAGCTCAGGTGGTGATCCAGCCTGTGATTCTGCCTGAACTGTCATCAGGTAAGAGCTGTATTTCACTTGCCCTCAGAAAGCATAACCCCCACTTCAGCTACTCAGTGTGTACCCAGCCTTTATGGATAGAATATAACATTCATGAAGGATGGCCTGAAGGCCTTGAAGCCACCTGTTATTCTGAAGATTCTGAATGTCCCAAATATCTATCCATCTGTTAGAGAACCACAGGCCTGAACTGCCTCATTTGTCCTCAGTGGAATTTCTGTTCCTATTTTTTTCCTTGGGCTATACCGAAGAACATCTTAAGAAAGTGGTGTCTACTATAAGGATGTTGTTGAGGACGTTGCTTACTTGTTATTGGAATGGCAAGAGGCACTTTGGATGGTGGGTAAGAGTGCTGACTCTGGACTGGGTGCTGTGGCTCACACCTGTAGTCCCAGCACTTTGGGAGGCTAAGGTGGGTGGACAGCCTAAGCTCAGGAGTTCAAGACCAGCCTGGGCAACATGGTGAAACCCTGTCTCTACAAAAAATACAAAGATGAGCTGGGCATAGTAGTGCATGCCTGTAGTCCCAGCTACTTGGGATGCTGACGCTGGAGGATTACTTGAGTCCTGAAGGTGGAGGCTACAGTGAGCTGTGATTGCACCACTGCACTCCAGCCCTGTTGACAGGAGACCCTGTCTTTAAAAAATATATACTGATACTGGAGCCAGAGGACCAGGTTTGAGTCTTCTTAAATTCACAACTTAATAGTTGTGTGACTTTGGGCAATTTACTTAACTACTCTGTTCCTCCGTTTCCTTATCTGCTATTTGTAGATAATAATGGTACTTGCCTCAGAAAGTTATTAAATTAGTGAATATGTCTAAAGTTCTTAGGTCAGTGTCCTGCACATAAGTGCTAATTGTTAGCTACTATGCTTGTCATTTCTGATTTCTGGTGTTCCCTTTATGAGGAGCTCTGGAATAAATTTCTTCTCTTTGTAATATGGTTGTGCTTTCATGAGAACGACTTTGTTTTTGTTTTATATACATTATGGTTTGTGTAACTGATGCCAGCCAAGTCATCAGTTAACTGTTAAAGCTTATTTCCAAACATAGAACCAAATCCAGCAGGTATCTAGGCTTTTTCAAAATGACTTTTATATTGCCCTTCAACTTTGCTTATTTTCTTGTATTACCTGCCATTTTATCAGTCTGCTTTTTCTCCCCTGCTTGTTAAAATACTTTTAAATTTTATTATGTATATATGTAAGTAACTTTAAATCCTTTTGGAATAAGTTACAATATAAATTAAACGGTAAGGCTGGGCACGGTGGCTCACGCCTGTAATCACAGCACTTTGGGAGGCCAAGGTGGGTGGATCATTTGAGGTCAGGAGTTCGAGGCCAGCCTGGCCAACATGGTGAAACCTTGTCTCTACTAAAAATACAAAAATTAGCTGGGCATAGTGGCACATGCCTGTAATCCCTCCTACTTGGGAGGCTGAGGCAGGAGAGTTGCTTGAACCTGGGAGGCGGAGGTTGCAGTAAGCTGAGATTGCGCCATTGCATTCCAGCCTGGGGTGACTGAGTGAGACTGTCTCAGAAAGAAAAAAAGATAACAGAGAAGCATATAGTGAAGAAAAAGCCTTTTTACCATCACTAAGGATGTCTCCGAAGTAACAAACAGATGTCTGGAGTGCAGGATTCGCTTTGTAAGACTGGGGCTGTTCAGGCTCCTACTGGAATTTATATTTAAACGGTGAATCAGCCACATGGTGGGTGCTACACTAGGAGATGTACTTATCTGGGCAGTTGTGGACAGGCTGAATTTCAAGTATAGACACCTACATTTTGACTAGTAATTCTACCACAGTTGAGGGACAAGACTGATGTGGGAAGATTTTATTCCTGAGTATAGATTTTTCCGAAAGTATTTCCCCTTTTCTGATTACTTGACTGTGTTAGTTCAACTTATTTAGGAAGCAATCTTGATTGCTTATTTGTGCAGACTGTTCAAAAATGATGGGGATGCTGACACATGGGACCCACAGGTACTGCCTGAGGACAGGAAGGGATGGCTCAGCCCAGAGTTTCTAGTGGAGGTTGGGAAGCTTGAGCCGAAACAAAA